GCTGCCTGCGGAGAGAGGGAAGGGAAGGGCCCGCGTCCTTAGACACCCCCCCCCACACACACACCCCTGTCCCTATACAAGGTTTTGCCTGTTGCAGCCCAGTCTCTATTGAACAAGGCTAACTGCCCTTCAGCCGTCTGAAGTCGGTGTAACTTAGTATAAAAGGATTATCTCCTTCCCACCGCCCCCAGAGCAATAAACACAAAGATGCTATCAAAGGAAATAAGCAGGGAATTGCAAATATTTAAAATAGAAATAAGCAAATTCTCTCAGAAGTGTAAGTTCATCATTTTGTTTTCTCTGAAAAGACACCCCTTCCTGCCCAGCCGGGCGTGGCTCAGCGACTGAGCATCGACCTAGGATCCAGGCGATCGGGGTTCGATTCCCGGTCAGGGCACATGCCCGGGTTGTGGGCTCGATCAATGACTCTCTCATCATTGGTGTTTCCGTCTCTCTCTCCCTCTCCTTTCCTCTCTCTCTGAAACCAATAAAGATATATTTAAAAAAAAAAAAAAGAAAAGACACCCCTTCCTAAGAGCCTTGAGGTTCAGCTCTAAGCAAAATGTATATTTTGATCTCTGTTTTCTTAACTCGTTGAACAAATCATCTGTGATGTTTCCTATAATCAAGTCGCACGGCTAAGCGCTATGCTGGAAAGATTTCTTAGGCTCAGAAAACTGATTTTATAATAGTTAGAAGCCTGACTGTTTTATCAATAAATGTTTAACTCCAAGGGAAATAATCATGTCTTTTTAAAATTTAACAAAGGCAGATAACAGAGTTATGAGGTCATACACTATCTTAATAAGGCTTAAATATATTTGAGGAGAGAAACAAGATGGCGGCGTAGGTGAGACCCGCACCTGCAACACCATCAAAATCACAACTAAGCACAGAACCACCAGCACTCGGAGCCTCCTGAGATCCGGCTGCACAGAAGCCCCACAGCCAGGGAGCTGAAGCAGCAACGAGACCGGGAGGAGGGGCGGAGACGCGGGCGGATCGGGGCAGGATCGGAGACTCGNAGGCTGCGAGGCCACACCCCGAGCCGCGGTTGAAACCCAGGAGGGAATCTCTGTGGTGGAGGTTTCCCAGAGGAGGTAGGGGACCAGCCCCCAGCAGGCCCCCAGCCCAGGGCTCCAGGCCGGGAAGAGACATCCCCACAANGGAGACAGGCTGCGAGCCCACACCCCGAGCCGCGGTTGAAACCCAGGAGGGAATCTCAGCGGTGGGGGTTTCCCGGAGGAGGGAGGGGTCCCAGCCCCACAGCAGGCCCCCAGCCCAGGGCTCCAGGGC